GCCGGCCTGGGAACTGCTGGCCGCCTGCGCGCTGATCGGCGCGGTGGGCTGGCTGCTGCGGCTCCTGGACGGGCGGACGGGCGGGCGCGGGGCGCCGCCGGAGGGCCTCCGTTGCCCGACCCCGCGCGGCGAAGCGGAGAGAGCGCGGCGCGGCGGGAGCCGACCAGGTGAGAGCGGCGGGACGGCCGGGGCTCCGCGCGCAGTGGGAGCGGAGCGCGGGCCGGCCGCGCCGGGGATCGCCCGATCGGCGGCCCTCGGTCACGGGCGGCGCCCCGCGGGCCCGGCACAACTCCGGCCGCTCCTCGCGTCTCGCGCTGCGTCCCCTCGGCGCCGCCTTTCCCGCACCTCGTTCTCGGTTCGCCCGCGTCCGCCGCGCGGGGCGGGACGGCAGCCGAGCGGCCGCAGGCGGTGCGCTGAGCTCCGGCCGCTCCTTGGCGCCGCGTCCTCCCGTGGGCGCCCGGCCGGGCGTGTCCCGAACCCGGGCTGGGGGAAAACGAGGATGTTCGTGTGTGCGGTGCTGCGCGGCGCTGCGATTAAGCTGCTCGTTTTGATAAGCGGGACGGCAGAGCCGTGTTGCTGTGCTCTGGTGTCGGTGGTTCGTTCTGTCCCGGTATCGATCTTAATTTCTGGAAGCGGATCCTGTTCACGTTGTTGCCGCGAGCAAAGAGAAACGCGTTTTTTCCCCCGTTGTGCTTTGTTAGGCAGAGCCTCCGAAGGGCGGTGGCGGCTCCGCTGGGTGCGGGGCGGGGCGGCCCTGCAGGATGGGGGGGGAGCGGGGGGTGCAGCTGCCTGCAGTGCCTGAAGGCACTGAGCACCGCCGGGCTCGTGTCATGCCCGCTGCCATCCGTGCAAAGCTGTCACGTAATTGCCTTAAAACAGACGGGTGTGTGGGGTTGCAAGGCACGCTTCTGATTTGGACGGATAAAAATAGGCGGTGCCTTTAAAAATTAATACGTTGTCGTCAGTTTCTTTGGTGTTCTGTTGCTTTTTTAAGTGAACTATAGGGATCTTAAAAATAAACCATATTTTTTTAAAAAGAGTGTGAATTGCACAACAAAACAGCTGCAGTGTGGAAGGCCGAGTACCCGTGTGGTCCATCATCGTGTTGATTAAAAAAAGTTGGTCTCTGCTGCTCGAATAAATGAACTGCTCTGGAGCATTCTGGGCAGTGTTGCTCCGAGGAAATTGCCCGCTGATTCCCAGCAGGGAATTACATTGCTGTGAGACATGCAGGCAGCTCGGCTGGGTGCCACCTCTGGCCGTTGGGTGACAGAGCCATCCACAGAACTGACCTCTGCAGTGCTGTCTGTGCTCAGGGCCGTAACCCGAGGGCTGTTTGCTCCCCTGGCTGTCTGCTTTGTCACCTCGCTTTTGGATTTGGTTGTGTGCAGTCTACAGCATGTGAAATGGACACATGAAATGAGTTCTTTTTCTTCTGCTGCTGCTGCTGAATTCTAGGCAGTAATCCAACTAGAACATAAGACACCAGAAAAATTGGTCCTTTACTGTGTTTTTTTGCTGAACCACGCGCCGGGAGAAGGGTTTTGTGTGCCTGCACGTTGTGTGTCTATGGTTATGCAGGTTCCAGTGTCTGCTCTCATGCAGTGTTTGGAATGGCCCTGGCTGGTTCTGAACCCTGAAACAGGAGCATTTCCTGAATTAATTCTTCAGGCTTTATATAATATTATCTTTAATTATTTTTCATTGAGGTGTTTCTACCATAAACTCTCCTGCTCTTAAGTTTTTACCATTATTGTGGTTTTGCAGTCAATCTCCAAAAGAAAACTATCAATCAGAATAGCAATTTCTGATATTCTCTTACGTGACTTCATGACTTTATCCCTTAATTAAAAGACAGCAACATAAAACTACCAAAAGAAACCTCAAAATACTTGAAGATTAAGTGTCAAATGAAAGTGAGAAGGTGTGTCAGCCCGGTCTGTGTGGGCTCAGCCACGGGCAGGCAGGCGATGGCAGGAGGCTAGGTGGCTCCAGAGCTGCTGGGGAGGGAGAATGCAGTGGGGCTCAGCTCCTGAAGCTGCCCTGCTCTCACTTCCCATGCTTCCAGTGTGCTTCTGCTTCATACTGATGAAAGAACCTGCGGCTGAGGCAGGTGCTCTAAGCACAAGTTTGAAATCAGACCTTAAAAGAAAACACTGTGCACAGAAGATAGCGCACACTCATACACATACATATACACACACCTATACCTGCCAGGCTGTGCTACTTGGAATCGATCTGAAGTTTGGCACTAGCGTTGTTTTCATGGTATTTCCTAGTTTCAGAAGCATAATAGCTTTGAATTCAGTCTCTGGCAGGATTTCCCTTGGCTATTATCACTGCTGCAAGAAGCTAGGCAGGCTCCAGTTTTTTTTATATTAAGAGGTTCTTTACCAACTAAATCTTGGACAACTTAATATGCAAAGTAGTCACGTACAGTTTGTGGGTGTATTTTGTGATAAGGCTGCAGGCAGTACATGTGGAAAAAAAGAAGTGGTGGCTGTGCAGTTGTGTGAGAAAGGTGAGATTTTGGAATTTCTTCTGAGCTGGAATGCTGGCAGGAGGGCTGAGCTGTTGGGGCGCAGTGCCTGCAGTGCTGCAGCCCGCTCTGTTCTGTGCAGTGCTTGCTGGCTCAGCGCTGCCTTGGTTTCCCAGAGGGCCTCACACGTCTTGGTGCATCTTCTGGTTGGTGCTGAGGGCTGCTTGCAACACTGCTGCTAAAGCAGGGAGCACTTGAGCCGATGAGGTGTTTCACATACCGCGTTCAAACACCGCCATAATGGCTTTAAACAGGAAGAGGGGAGATTTAGACTAGATAGTAGGGAGAAATTCTTTACAGTGAAGGTGGTGAGACACTGGAACAGGTTGCCCAGAGAGGCTGTGTAGATGCCTCCACCCCGGAAGCATCAAAGGCCAGACTGGATGGGGCTGAGAGCGGCCTGCACTGCAGGGACGTGTCCCTGCATATAGCAAGGGGCTGGAAATAG